GCCGACCAGTGGTATGGCTACGCTCGACCAATTGGTGGAGGTGTCAGAGATCCTGGCGAGGAACCTGACTACGAGTCGGAAACTGACGACGATGAACCTCTTGAGAATGGACAGTCTCACCGCCGCATCAGAGATCACACACGACGAGCCCTGTTCTTTCTACGACAACGCTACATACCACGCCATCGCCTCCACCATCACATCCTGAGGAGAAGGAGCATGAGCCTACAACGACAACGGCAACAGCGCGGCCGAAACCGCCACAAGTTATCATCCCTATTCCTGTGTCACCGGTGTTAGACTCACCCAAGCTTTTACATCCTATCCCTTGTGTACCGGTTACGCTGGCCCATATGGCACAGTATAGTCTCGAAGCATTTAAACAGGTGAGTTCCATTCTGTAACGCGATGCTACCTCGTCCGAACCAACTACATTAGGTATGGCGCGAAGCATGTGCACCACTGTATCACTGCCGATGTTCCGTCTGCGAACGTGCTATGATCAAGGCAAATGTTGCCACATACCATCACACCCCAAATGCTGCTACTGGTGATCCCATTGAGGTCCCTCATACCTCAACGCCGCCGAAGCATCCTCGTAGAGACTCAGATCGTCCTGTTGACGACCGAGCGCGGCGCGGAGAGTATGTGGCACCAATCCCTACACCTCGCCAACGAAAGCGCTCCTCAGAAGAGCTGGATGTTGGCAACGACTCTCTGTCTAGATCTATATAGTGCATAGTGTGCCGACCGTGTGTCTACGACAGGAATGCCAAAGTAACTAGTCTTTTGAAATATCATCGCGAGTTCCCAGAACCATGCTCTTTTCACCAAAGTCATCACTTTCGTCATCAGACTCTGAGTCTCTCTCGCTGTCAGCAACTTCCTCTGGTGTCTTATAGAACAATGGGGGTATTGGACGAGACCAGTTACATGGCAATTTGAAAAATTCGCAAAACATGTTGCACTGATGTTTCTCCGCAAAAGATGAAAATGCAGATGCCAAGTTGCCATCTGCGAACAGGTGTCCGGAAAGATCACTGATAATTGCTGTCAGCCACTCATTGATAAGGATAGTAGTAGGGATGTAGATTTACGGAGAAGTCATAATTTGAGGATCAGTTAAAAGATTCCTTCCGCCTGTCAAGAACGAATAAGCTATGTGTAGATATCCGAAATAAAGACGAGCCTTGAAAATCTGCAACGTAAGCAAGTTTCTTGGTCTTGACGTATTGGACGTGTTGTGCAAATGACAGGTACTGGGCAATTTCACTTGATTTGGCATCAAGGTGTGGCAGTGGGGAAGGCGAGTCGTTGGATATATACTTGGTGAATTTCCCTTGTGTGGACTCGTCAATGAACTCTTCAATTAGATATGTTTTGGTAACACCAGCGTCCTCGATAGTGGCAAGAGCAATATGCACGAAGCGGATATTTGGAATCTTGAAGGGAGGTGTGCTGCGAGTCACTAGTTCTGTGGCAATATATTGCTGAACCCGGTCCATGAGTGCTCCTGCCCATATGCTGCATCTAATCTCTGGCTGCAGCAGCTGTAGTTGCTGAGAATCGGGATAAGGAAACCGCTTGGATTTGTCGGTCTGGTAGTAGCACTGCTTTAAGCAGATGCGAGTTGAATCAGATCCAGACGGTCCAAGAATAGCTTTGTCTAGAAAGCCGAATTGTGCTGCTTTGAATGCTCCATACTTCGGTTTGCTTCGTGGATCGAAAAAAAGAGTAGCCTGCATCGGGGGGGCAGTAGTATTTGGTACGTCAGAAGTGGTTGGATCAGTAATCAGAGCAGATAGTGATATGGGGGGGATTATCCGCAGTAGTGCCTTGAACGTGCGAAGAGTGAGAAAGGGTAAGTTTGGTTGGGATATGGGAATAGCTTGTGCTTGAAGTGCACGGCGAAGTGCACTAACATCCGGAGATACTGCAGCATCCAAAGTCCGAGGCTTCCGAGGGGGCGTGGATGGGACAGGAGGCTGTGTGTGATGCTAATGAGCATAAGGCTGGTACTAGAGTTCGAAAGAATGACTGACCAATGATAATTTGCGCTTGACAGGGTGAGGCGAACATTGGGCACCATTTTGCAAATTTTTTGATGGGGACACCACAGATAGTACTAATGCAGGACTTGAAAGATGTTGGATGTCAGATGAACTTGCCGCTGTTGCGTGAGGTGTATCCTGGTTTATGTATTCTGTCAGTCATGCAAGGTACCAATAGTCCATGTTGAAAACGAACATCACGAGACTTGGACTCAGCTACTTCCTCACCATTTCGCCTTTGCTCAGCGGCAAGGAACTTCGTATGTGGAATAATGAGGTGAAGTTCGATCCCCTTGCCAGCGTTGAACTGCTGCTTCGTGTTCCTGGTCTTGAGGAAGTGGGATGCTATGGCATTGATGTCTTCTCCAGATGGACGGGGAAGAATCTCCTCGAAACTACTAACAAGACGCAAACGTGCCTCTTCAAACGTAAAAGTAAGACCCATGGACCACTTGATGAACATGGGAAGTAGGGTGAGGTACACCGAAGTTTTAAGGTCATTGGCACCAATGCGGTAAGGGATGTTGCTGATCGACTCGACTATATCCTATAGAAGATTCAGCAAAGTTGGTGAAGTTGAATTCAGAATTGTAGAGAGCAACACTTACAGATATCAGAGTTGGTTTTTTAGCCCGTGGAATCATCACTGCAAGGTATGCCTTGACGCATACCACTTCAGGAACACTCAAAGCATAGGCCTGTCGAGCAAGCTGGTCTCGCATCTCTTCATAAATTTTATGCGCATCTTGATAACCAGGCTTGAGTGGCAGAGTTCGAAGAAGGTCTGAGTACACAATAAACTGAGCATCCCGACCATAAATAGATATGTTGGGCCCTAATGGATTTGCACGGCGGATGTCTGAGGGGCCAGGAGCTGCAGGCCAGTTGGGTAAAGGAACAAATTGATGATTTGCTGAGGCGCGCCTCGGGTGAATGGGACCTGGGATGAATGCAGGTGGAGGCATCCCACATGATACACTAAGCCCCACTGCACGAACAGGAAGTTGGGATTCTACAAAAATAAATGAAGGTTTGTATTCAATATAAAATGCAACTGTACTGGGCGACTCACTTCCACGCTGCGCCTCTGCAGTCTGCTTGTGAACTGCAGCACCATCATATTTGGACTGGCCGAAACCATGCTTCGAGGTATTTGGAATTACTAAAGAAAATTATTGTCAGACTGTAATGTGACAAAGTCTGCACACCGAGCAATTATTTTACCTGCATCACTTATTTTCTTGGTAGTGAACTTGGAGCGCTGGTATCGGCTGCATTTTTCACAAAGCCATTTACCAGGCTTGCTCGGATCTTTGTGCTCAATATAGGTGATAGCAGGTACAGTGCCAGGATGACCGCTAAAACAGTTGGCATACTCGCAATAGTGCTGGTCAGCATTTGTGGTGAACTCTGCAGCATACATGATGATGGTGGATTTTTTGGGGGGTTTGGATTTAAATTTCTGAACCGTCAGATTCAAATATTAGTGCTACTAGAGGCTCGTCGAAGCAAGCAAGGGCCTTTGATATCACCATTTGATGCAAGTCTATGTGCGAGTGATGATTTCTCATGTCAAATTTGCAAGGCAAGAGATCTTAGGCACCACGTCAATACAATGTCTTAACCTCATTCTGTACGCACAGCCACATTTATGAGTGTAGTCGGTAAATTCTTCATCGCGTTCAGTGGGTGATTGGGGGTCTGGCAGGAGAAGAGCCAAACAAATGCCTTTTTAGTCCAGCTGATCACTCTCGCCGAAGCTGATCACTCCCGCTTTCCATAGGATCAGACTGTTGAACAGAAACCCACCGCAAAACATCCTAATCTTGATGATTTAGTGGAGGCCGTCGCCAGAGGACCAAGTGTGTCACGACGTCAGATATTGACATATTATTGGGATATTATTGACAATCAGGATCAATTACCAAGCGATGTCGAATGAACGCTCAGACGCTGGCGCAGCGGCTTATAAGTTATAACCAACTCGGACTATCTAGATGACGGTGAAGGACTCATAATATTATTTTTCTGTACTCATGAACACCCATGACAGGCAATTATACTACTTCCATGCATATCTTCAGACTTTAGTACGCAAAGATCTGCAGTGAGTGGCCCTACGACTCTCCTCACAAGTGACAACTGGCCAGGCATTATCAGCACTTCGCCCAAACTTCCCCTTACTATTTCGACCGTGCCACTTAGAACAACTCTTTAAACACCGCACGTAGTAACGTACCGCTCGCCGCCTCGAATAAAAGCACTCCGTGCAATAGTCGATATCCATTCATTTTCAACTTCCATTAGGGCCCGACCAATGTTTGAACCTCGTTGTAATGATGCTGTTCCGCATGTGTGCAATAAAATCCTGAAAAGAGGCAGCATTCTTTTTGTCAAATCAAATGTTCCCCAGTCCAGCTGATCGTCTGCAGTATCACCTTTCGATATACTGGCTGGTGCAAAGTACAAATTAGTAGAGACTACGCTGCTTGCGAAGGGTTGAAGTGGCCTAGTTGAGAAAAAGATATACTTAGGATGAACTGGTGCAACACCTCAATTAAAATTCAGAACGTTTTGCATCATTCCTCGTTCTTCATAAGGCACATATTTCGTCCGCTTCCGCTGTCTTCCTCGGACTCCTCTCCACCCCCACAAGGTCACCGACAACAGTTATTTCACCACTTTGAGTCTCTTGTGCTGGCTGCATAACTCCATAGTGGTGTAAGCACACTGGCTTATTAAAGTTCCCATAATCTACATACATATATATACCGGCCGCGATACTGAAAGACAAGCTTTCGGTATCATTCCTTTTGGCGTAACAGCTAAGCGGATGAGACAGTCTTGACTAATAATTAAGTCACAAGTGGATATAAACCTTGAAATTCTTCATCAGCCACGAGTGTGTGCAAATGTAACAATCCTATCTCGCTGGCCACTGTCTTCCACAGGCGTGAGCGTTAATGGCTCCGGGGTGTACTCCCCATATTGTGTGCCGGCGCTATCGGTCTGAAAACCACTATCAATAGGTGAAGGCGAGCAAGAGGTAACAGAATACGGCGTAGATTGTGTAGTCACTGTAAGGTGACGGCGACTAGACTCGCATGGTCGATAGTCAGGCATCGTGGTCCACAATCTGACCGCACCATCGTGGCTTCCCGTAGCAAACATGAAAGGGTTGTCCGAAGCATGATTCCATGCGACACACGTCAGGTCCCCGCCTAGGGCCTGGGCACGGACATGATGAAGAAGCACGGCTGAATCGCGGTCCCAGATATGTATATCACCAGCTGCTCAGTAGTCGTTCAGTTACAGGGCTGGGAAGAACCGGAAATAGCGCACCCTTGCCGGCACAAAGCACAAGCTGATCATCCTTGCCCCCAAAATAGCTCGGTCCTGCGAAGTCAACTGGCACTTTGGGCATATAAGTATGACGCAGAGTCAGCCGCGCCTGATCCTTGACTATTTCTAACTTCCACAGCTGGGGGAATGCCTAGATGTATGCACGAGAGAAACTGAGCAAAATAGGCGAATCGGCGATGTACGGACAGACCTTGTTTTCATAAGATACCAGAGCCACTTGTCCGTTCTTAGCCAGCGTTATATCACGGACATCATTGAGTACTGGCGTTTGGCTGCCACAAGTCGTCAATACATGCCTTGAAGCATCATGCTGATGAGCTCACCTTTCTATAACCTTCGTCTGGATGTTATAAACTAAAATAGATAAGAAATCAGATCCCACGAAAGACGACACTGAACTCACCCAAAAGCTGTTTTTCTACTCGGGACTTGCTAGGATGCAATCCTTTGGGAGAATATAGGATCGGCCCGACGCCCAATAGCCACTGTAGATCGGGAGTAATGGCCACATCATGAATGAACAACCGATTGAAGCGATACGTGTCTAGGACCTGAAGAATGAGACTTGAGCACCATTCCAAGAAATTGACCTTGGTGCACGCACATTGCCGTTGAGATCCTGTCGAAATGAGTGGATACGTCATAAATAAGAGCGCGATGACCACTCACCAATTTGACCACTTCGCTACCCTCGACGGACAGAAATGCTGCGAAGATCACTTGTTGGCATAGTCTGCGGGTGCCAGTTGGAACCTCACCTTCCCCTCTAGGCAACCATGCAATTGAGTGGACATGATGCTGACGTTCGATAGTTTTTCGACACACTCCATCCTAAAATGACATACAATTCAGCACGGCATTACTCTTCTTCCAGTTCAACCAACCTCTGTCCAAATTTTGATAGCCCGATTCAGCCGTGTAAGGAGAAGTACACCGATTGGGGACCTTACCAAAATATCAGCAAGCCATGGACACGAAGCAAGAATAACGTACCAAGCAACTTGACCAACAAAGCCAGAAGCATGTGCAAGCACACGATGGGGCACACAAGGATCCTGTAGAGATATCATTGCCACGTTTTAATCAACCACTAGCACCACACACCCCGACGCGGAAGATGATGGACGTCCGATCCCAGCTATTAAAAACATCAATACACAGCGTACTCGACAGGCCGGAAGGTCATACCTTGAAGTTGCCAAAAACTTCCCATTGGGTGAAAATTGTAAGTGCCTGACGAGTGCTGAATGCGCAGCCAAATCTTGCGTTGTCTCTAAGCTTTTGAGCTTAGATATGAGGGAAGCAACTTTGGAGCCTCTACATGTTGTAGTGATACTTGTCTCTGGCGTCGTTTTCGATGCATCTGTGAACGCCGACGAAGTTGTTCGCTTCCGCACAGGAGAAAATGGGCTACTAGGAGAAGACGTTGCAGACTGGAGCATCATAACGGACCGAATGGCACTTGTTAAACGGTCTCGCGCTGTAATCGGAGAGTTTGACGTGCCGCTGAAGGTGGTGGTTGGTGACTCCAAATTGGGATGTGAAGAACCCTCGCCACTGAAATGCGAGTAGGAGTCTGTGGATTGTCGGATGGGTGATAGCGGAGAAAGGGGTTCAGGAGAGCGTGATATAGTGTGAGCATACTCGCGAGTAGTCAGGTTGTCGCCTTGCTCTATCGCGGTTGTCGTGATTGTCCCCATCGATGACACCCGTCTACATTTGTGACCTGCAAATTCAACACCTTTTTGTACATACCGCGAGCCCCAACTAAAGGTTTTGCTGACAAATGAGACGAGACGCATCGCCATGAAGCGTCGCAGAGCATCTTTCAGAACATCAGAAAGCCACTTCGACCCACGATGATGCACAAATGTCCATTTCTCAGAAGCAAACCAGGCTGAAACCGCTGCTAGGCCAAACGAGGTGAACGCAGTAAAAACGGTTGTGATTGTAGATGTAACTTTGCCCTGTGATACATCATAAGTAGAAGGAAATTTCGAAAATAGCTAAGGGAACTCACCTGTTGTGTAGAATACGTGAACAGTACAAGTCCGGCCGAGAAGCAAGTCACAGACATCACCAAAAATACTAAGGGTGATCGTTTAATCCACATCAGTACCCACCACGGTACGCGATCACCAGGTGATCGACTACACACATCAGCTGGGACTCGCTTCAAGTCCGAGGGGTACTCACTACATAGCCTGTTTCCAAGAAAGCCCCAGCAAACTATTAACAGCAGCAGCGATGCTGAATACAAGCGAGGAGAACCAGAATGCATTAACTGCGTCAGAGAGCATATCTCCAGTCTGAGAATACGAGAACTGCAGTGTGGTCGCAGTGACGGCGGAGAAGAAGGTGGCCACGGTGGACAGAGTTAAAAGATTTGCTGCGGTGTGCTTCTGTGCGAATCGAATAGTTGGGACACCTCGGACTAAATTAGCATCATGTCGCCTGGGTAGACCAGGGGATCACACACCAACTTCGATGAACATAGATAACGTCCCAGTAATGTTGTCGATGTGCTCTCCCATTTCAGCTGTAAGGTCATGAACATAGCGCTGTACAGCAGGGTATTTGAATTGTCCTGATAGAAGATATTTAGAATCACAGGTCATTGAGTCCTACGAGACTGGGAGAGGCTTACCTCTGTATTCTTGTAAACAACATGCCCAGTACTGATAAAAATTAACCAAGCGCTACACAAAAGGGTGTAAATTTATACCTTCAAATCGCCCTCGAATGATTTTATCGAAGTGTTAACAGCCTCATCAGTGAATTCCGGAAATTCGTTCAAGCATTTCAAGAAGGTCATGAGGGCAGCAGCGAAGTTCTCAAACTGCTCTGGGAGGCTTTCAAGATCAAGGCTGTCTTCAATATTGACTGGAACACGACCTGGCATGCTCTTCCGCCGCCGAGCGTTGCGCTTTCTGTCCATTAGATTGGGGTTGACCAGAAATTCGCGTTGCTGACGAGAGACTTTCCGAGGAAAGAGATCAGCCGCATTGTCCCGGAAAAGGAAAAGGATTTGTGCAAGACGTTCTCGGAGCCGAAATGCGGAGGACAGAATTCCGACAGAACTACCAAGTTGTCGTGCAGCATTGCCGAAGTTTCTGAGCTGTCAGTGTGAACACCATGTCAGCCTAATCAGCCGCAAATCTTGTTGTTAAACAGCAGTGACCTCTTTGTCGAGACTATTGATCCTTCTGAAGGAAAATTTAATGAGAAAGAAATTCAGGGTTGATGGTAAACGAACTTCTGAAATCTGGTAAATTTCTCTGCTCCGGAAACCTGCAGTTGCTCGTCCACAGTTGCTAATCCGATGTTCAACCAAAGGTACAGCTGTCAGATAATCCTACTCACGGGTATCTCTGTCATCCTCAAAGCTTGGATTCTGATCAAAGTCTGAGTTGAGAAGTTGATAAACAGTCTAGGAATACATAGCACGGAAAGCTGACCTCGGTCAAGACATTCAGCCTGGCTAAGCTCGTTTAAAGCATTTAGGAGATTGAGCAATGTCTGCCTCCGTTTGGTATCGAATCTTGAAGGATCAACGCGGGGTTGATTAGCAGTCTCTCCGAGGAGATCACCTGTGCAATCTTTAAAAGGGCCAGCTACGGGCGCGGGACCGGTAGCTGGGAAGTGGTACATAGGTTCAGCCACGTTTCATTTGAAAAATAAAACATATCATACCATGATGCATATTGTTATACACGGCTGTGGCAACTGCAGTGCAAGTAGCCGTTAAAGATAGTTCTAGCTATGAAACTTTTGATAGGATGTGGTTTTTATGAGAATTCTGGTAGTGCTGCCAGTGAGTGAAGAAGGGCATAGGCTCGAAGCAGGCGAGAAGCAACGATACATCCATTTGAAAGAGCCTGTCACGAAAGGAGTTGGGAACCGAGTTATTCGCCACATCATAAAAAGTTCTGAGTAAGACACTGCCATAATGCATTGCCAAATAGACCTGAGACGCGACTTGGCAAGTATTATTTAATTATAATAACTTATGATGCTTCAGATATCATCCTATCCCTAGGTCCCAACAGCAGCGTAGTCCCCCAGCTCACTTTTCATCACTTCCCCGCTATCGCTAACAACGAGCTCAAGGGAGCAAAAAGTGCTACAAACTTTTGCTGCCGAACCGTGGCGTATCGGGCCACGTGCCAGTGTTATCAATTGCTTCCACCAACTATTTTAGCCAAACTTCAGAAATCGTGAACGGTCCGAAGTTCGTACGCTGTTCATGGCGACTCTCGTTCGCACCCAAGTCGTACAGCCCATCGAGCAGGACGAAATCCTTCGAACTTCCGTTCCAAAACCATTTCCCAGCGCAGACGAAAGAGAGCAACTACTTCAAGAAGCACTTTTGGAAGAACTTGCTGGGGAGCAAGTAGAGTATGAAGCTCATGCCAATGGGAGCATATCACAAAGCAAGCCGCAATCGACGCCAGCGCTACATAATGTAGACCATATTGCACCAGAAAGACTGCTCGTGAGTGATGGATACCTCAACGATGTGTCTGTGAATAATCCTTAGCTCAATTTTGCAGACCGTTATCATGCCATCAATCACTGCCGTACAAAATTCGTGTCTCATGACACTCAACAATTTGTTATCTGTCCCTAGAAGATGGCAGCCAATTGTCCCAGACAGGCGCCATTCGATGCCAGCCTCTATGCACTTCGAACGGACGCCGCAATCATACTCCGCGCTCGAGACGCTTGTGTTAAATCTCAGAAATCATGATGGTGGGGAGATACCTCGCAAAGTTCTGGATGACCACACAGCTCTCCTAGAGGAACTTAGGGATCGAGTCGATGCCCTAACGCCTTCTATGAACAGACAGGATGCACATTTTGCACAAGTCATAGTATCACTCCTTTTGGACTTGGACCAGTTGCCTGCAGTTTCTCCCCCTTTGGATTCAGCCCTTCAAGCATCTTCATCCACTTCTCCTGACCTCGTCGTTCGATATCCCGTCGATATCTTAAGTACCCTAAAAAAGCAGCTTGGCGATCTGCAATTGGAAGGGAAGGCAAGGGCAAACATTCTCTCCCCACAATCCCCAGTACAAACTGTACAAACTGCGCTCCTTTGGTCCAAGATTGAACGAAAACTGGAAGCTGTAACAGCACTTTGTAAAGATCGCGCCGATTCCCACCGTTCCCCCTCCTTAGATCATCTCCCCCCACAATATGACCACGCAGGCCACGACTTCGAGACACCTCCCGAGTACGATGCTGAGTATCAATCATCTTACGAGAAGGCTGGCATACAGCCACCACGGTCGATACCATCTCCCAGCATCCCCAACGAGAAATTGCGGATGGATTTTGATGCCGTGATGCTGGCAATCGAGCGTCTGTATATCGTTGCACCCCAGCTACACAACCAACGAGTGGAATTGAAGAGCGCCAAGCTCGCCCAAATGGAGCGTGCACGGCTTGAAGGTCCTAAAGTCCAGCCTTCTTTATCTAAGGGCAAGCAGAAAGCTCATGACCGGGATATGCGCGACCTTGACCATATGCTTGAGCTCATCCGGAAATCGTCAGACCGCAAGTTGACTGATCAATCGGTCGTCATGGATAGCAGACGAATGATCAGGTTCAGGCAAGCAAGGCAGGAGTACGAAAATCAGGTATTTCCTATCTACTTTGACCAGAGACAATCGCTTATCAAAGTAATCATTGCAGCGAGGTGCATTCGTCGACCATCTTATCCAACGCTCGGGAGCCGGGAGATTGCATGACCAAGATGCCATTTTGCAGCCCAAAGTTAGAGCACTGGATGAGCTCGTCACGCTCCCCGAGTTCATTCGCGAATCAATGTCGCTTATCCCATCCGAATCGCGCCAACACATATCCCCTTCTGGAGATGCACCTGAGGAGCCGGTTCCTGACGTTTCGGCAATGACTCACAAAAAGTTACGCAGTCGAAGCATATCTGCCCCACAATGGTTGCGCCCTGCGGCGGAATTTAGCCGACGGCTGTCTAAGAGCACCAGCAGACCGGGCTCGTCCCACGGGCTTATCCAATCTGGAACCGAAGAGTCGCAGCAACAAGGTAAACACTTGGACATTATCATCGACAAAACTAACCAGAGTTTTGCAGCGAGCATTGCACTCAATGTTTCATATGTTGCCGAATATCACGAGACCTTGAGACATGTCCTGGTCTTCGTAGCAGTATCAGGCATTCCCGTTGACACAGAACTACAGGCTGAAGTGTTGCCAACGTCATCCAGTGGGACAGAAGGTGATTGGTTGGTGATTAGGAGTTCTTGGGCCTCCTCGCCTCCACTAAGCTTGCCTGTCCGAGTCACCCCTGGAAAGAAAGATGTTCAAATTCGCCAAGGACACTACGAGCTCAAACTTGGGATTGCGAACCCACAGGCGGCGAGGTCCTCTTCACCCGATGAACCTACCCCGTTGATGTCTGCTGAGCAACTCCTATCATCGAAGCCGACATCCTGGTCCTGCATATCTTGCTCGCTCCCCCTCGTCCATTGCCAAAAGTTGTTCAAATACCGCGACCTCCCATCAGAACATTGGGAAGAACTTGTCGATGCCTGGATGTGCCATGCAGACCAAACACTACATAATCACATCGCGAAGCATGGACGTGGTTTCTGGCCAGAGGATAGCGAGGCTCTGGTTGGAGGTGGCTATATTCTCTTCCAGCAATCGGCAATAGTATCCAACAATGTCTCCTGCACCGAACAGCCCCTGGTAAATATATATTTCTTATTGAACTCGTGCTATTGTAGGACGAACAAGAAGGCCGACGTTGGGCTTCCACCAGCGGCTGCTAGTCGATCGTCGGTGCTCTGCCTTGATACCTTAGAAGCCCCCGCAGGTTTCTTCGCACTATCAAGTAGTGGGGTATGCGTCGTGAGACTGCGGCAAGTTTCACTTTCGGTTGATACAAAACGTCCAAAATTGAACGCGGGGCAATTCGCGAGTCACTCTTTCAAACAACTCTCTTCACTGAGGATCATGTGATGGGAGCTACGCTCGAGTGCACAGTTTTATAACTTTTTTCTCCTTATCAATTTTGATGGTAAACTGATTTATTATCTTTAGCGAGATGGAGAGTCGTGGCTGGCACGATGTATATGCGGCGCAGTAATTGGTCGGCGGCATGAACGACATGGCCCAGATGGCACAGCTTCAGGGATGTATCGTTTGTTCAAGTATGCGGTACGGCCAGTGAGCCAAACAACGGAGTTCGTAGTCACAGTATACCTACATTAGTGTGCTGACGGCCTTAACAGACTTCCCCGATTTCCAATGTCTGCCTTCATCATGCAAGATATGCTCGAGCATGTGTCTGCTCATGCAACATATCGCTTTGTTATCTCTGATGAAGAAGAGGAGCGGCCGCGAATTTTGGTTTGTTGTGATCTTTAATCATATTGTCTAGTTTTCTTACACTGCGCGTAAGGTATGGCTGTTCAAGCCGAGGATTCGTGTTTCGTATATGCTGCCTACGTCATACCTTATTCCGAAACAGGGTTCCATCGACGCGTCAAAAGTGTTGTACAAAATTTTGGGGCCATCGTCGTCAACGATGGCTTTGAAAGAGTGCGTGATCTTTGATGAACATCAATGCATCCCTCTGACCTGTTGTACGTAGCCTACTGTCTCGATACCCCGGATTTCCTCAAGCAGAGCACCTCTTCTATCCAATCGACGTCTGTCGCAAGCTCGCAGGGCTATTGACGGAGAGTACGCATTCGTATCCAGAGAACGTGAAGACAATGACAGGCTTGGATGTTGGCTGGTTAAATCGTGGATCCTGACAAATGGATATCCCACTTCCCTGTTTTTGCACCAAACCGAGTGATGTTTATTGGACGCTCAAGTTGTCGGAACAACTGTCATATGATACCATAGTTAATAACCTAGGCATAGGTCTACATCATACAAAACGCTGCTACCACGCTACGAACACGTAGTGTCGGGCAAAGTTGGATTTAAGGGGTTTCCGCTGCACTGACAATTGTATTTGTTCTGGCAATAAAGACAACGCAGTGCGCAAAGTTTCTCTGCGCATGGTGCGGAACTGGGAGCACGTTGAGAAGAACGTCCTACAGATTAAGTATACTAAGTAAATATGCACAGTGGTGGTACACAAGGAGGCATGCGAAAGTGATACATTGGGTGGATTACACCTCTTGGCTGTCGAGACTTTGTTTCTTGCTTTTTGCAGGCAGGAGCTAAACGAGGGCATTTAAAATGGTTGAGCAGCCGGTAAAGGAAAGAACGTACTGCAGGGTTGATGTAAGGTACGACACCACCCTCAGAGATGATCACATCTCCGAGCAGTTTACTCAACCTGAGGACGAAGTGAGTCAAGACTGCGACAAATCAGCTAATATAGGGGCGCACTCTTCATCGTTACGAATAGCTAGTTGAAGGTGACGAGGATTGATGCGACGTTTCTTGTTGTCACGAGCTGCATTTCCGGCCAACTCCAGGATTTCAGCCGACAAGTACTCTAGTACGGCAGCAAGGTAGACTACAAAACACGCGTCAGTTTCAATGCGAGACTAAAACACTTGGGAACCCACCGGGTGCGCCAGACCCAATGCGCTTGCTGACATTGGATTTCCTCAACATGCGATGAATACGGCTGACTGGGAACTGGAGACCAGCTCTAGTAGAACGGGACGTGGACTTGGTGTCTTCACTCTTGACCTTGCCGCTGACTTTACCCTTGCCGCTTGACTTTGCAGAAGGCATAATGAAGAGTGTGTAGTGGTTGAGAAAAAGGTAGAGCAGGCAAAGTTTTGAGTTGAGATGGGTTAGAAGGTAACTAGCTAGACGGAACGCTGTATTTATAGTCTACAGTCTAGACGCGCGCCACAATCAACAAAGACGCGTCGTAGCCAAATAAGTGCAAAGTCACGTGAAGGTATATATAGGAGATGTCGTTCGCGCCTCCCGAGCCTTGTAACCGCCATTATTGCCATCCCTCCCGCACTGTTGAGTTATTATAGTAAATCTCATAATTTCCGCCGATATGCCGCCTAAACCCACGTCAACTGGTGGTAAGGCCCCAGCTTCTGCTGCTGCCACTAAAGCCCCTATCAAAACCACCGAGGGTACTGCTAAAGCTGCGAAGAAGACCGCTAAGACTGCCACAGCCCCAGCTGCTGGAGAGGAAAAAAAGAAGCGGAAGAAAGTCCGCAAGGAGACTTACTCTTCTTACGTCTACAAGGGTAACGCGTCACTCTATTAGGCAGAAAGCTTTTGGTCTGACATGTTTTTCAAAGTGCTCAAGCAGGTACACCCAGACACTGGCATATCTAATAAAGCCATGGCCATATTGAACTCGTTTGTCAACGACATTTTCGAACGCATTGCTACGGAAGCTTCGAGTATGTACTTTTCACCTTCTTTCGATCTCACTTAACCGTCAATTCTAGAACTCGCTGCATATTCCAAGAAATCGACAATTTCATCCCGTGAGATACAGACGGCAGTCCGTCTCATACTTCCCGGAGAGCTTGCCAAGCATGCTATCTCTGAGGGCACAAAATCCGTGACCAAGGTGAGATTTACATCAGTCATATTCGCAAAGTGTCCCTAACGGCTGAGACAGTTCTCGAGCTCTGGCGGCAAGTGAAGAACCCTCTGTTATCAGCTGTATCGTTAGGCGTTGTATTACTTCTATTATTATCTTTATTATTATTTTATTGGGATCTAGTGCTCTTGTCGTTTTTCGTTTGAGCGATGACTACTCCAGGCAACATTGGCGGCAGTGACTTCGAGTCCGAAAGTGAGGCCACTTAATTTGTATCCTAGACATTGACACTTTCAGTACACATCCAGGTACCTCCGACTCTCGTACTCTGATTTCAGACCTCAGCATTAAAGCACGCTGCGGACATGACTGCCTAGGCCATTTACGTCTTGGCCCATCTTGGATGATCTAAAAGTACATTCCGCTTGTCTATCGGGCACACGTGTAAACCAAATGTTGTCAAGAACCCCAGTTTCTTAAAGCGCCCAAGTAAGGGTTACGACGTCGTGTTTCCTATCCATCCGATAATCTGTCAACCCCCTTGTAAGAGGTAATCACTCAAAGGAACTTACCTGTGGACTCCAGACCTGAATTTTCTCTTTATTTCCAATGTTTGAGGGCTTTCAAACACATCTGTGGAATATCCTCCTTCTATCTTAACATCTTTGACACCTCGAGGTCGAAAGTGCGATTCAGACATGTTAGGGATGGCTGCACTCGGGGTATCAATCCGGGTTGTGCTCATAGTAGGAATGCGTGGCTGTGAGCGGAGTGGGCCCCCCGCTGTTGAGTGTTGAGCTGCTATCTGCTGAATGGCCCTCGTGATCGTCATCACATCGCCCTTCTGGTCTACCCCATCAAACATTTCCCTCCCGTTCTTCATCCACTTTTTGCGCTCCTTATCGTACAGTCCTTCCTCGCAGATCTTATCCATCGTAACTTGTACGAGATCGTCCAGCGCATCTCGTTTGTACCCATCAGGTATTCCAACAGGTCTTGTGCATCTGACATTTGTATAGCTTGGCAAGTGGTTCACTGAGGACTTGAGCCGAAGACCAGGGCGATGGTCGTCGCAGATAGACAGGTAATCTAATCCAGGCAAGCTATCGGACATCATTCTTATTCCCAGAAGAACCTATCCTGATTCCCCTCCTGAAAATTTGGTAAACGATGCCATCTTAATCAGTCGCGTCTGTGACTCAACCTTTAGGGCTGTTGAACTTACACTTCACGCATCACAACTCTTTCAATTCACAATCTCGAGCAGTCCAGAACCCTTCATGAAGTCGCGGTAGTACTATTGACGAATCGGATGAGCCCGAACACTTCTGATAAGTCTGGAGCTACTGCCACCTGACTGAATGACTACAATGATTACGATCATCTCAGACAGTACTGCGGCATGTCCAAAGTTCTACAACATCAACTCATTGGCACGTAATATCGATTGGGCTGCATTTTATCTATGAATGCAGACGATGGAGCTCCTCATCGCGCTTGTATCAGCTTTTCGGGTCATTGCAGCACCGTTCGCACTTTCTAAAGAATGAACGGAGATGAAGCAATTGACTCGGGGTTGCCGGGGAAATAACCAGGTTTGTCATAAATGAGTTGCACGAGGTAGTCTGCTGATCTTCGAATGCAACACGGGCGACCTTGATCAAGCTAGCAAGGCTAACTCAATTTCTGATATCCGAGGTGGTTGACGAGCACAACCTGTTTCTCTGCACACAGTAACTCAGGATATTCTGGAGGTTGGAATCTTCAAGATCTTCAAGTTTACAATCAGGCTCGGAGTGATCTATCATGATTCCGAGTCTGGTAAACTTGTTCCGAGGTCGCTGAACGGTCGCGCACCATCGTACTACAAGATGGAAGTATCATCTTCCTTCTATCTGGTCTGCCTACTAGAGGTACTGAGAATACAAAGGTCAAGATTCTATCCTACATCCTGGAAATCCATGCATGAAGCGACTCAAACACGACTTCCAGCTTTCATCTCCGTCGGCTTCTGTAGGCTGACCTGTAATTGGACGAGAACTGAGTACTGAACGTTAACTCGGTCCGAGCATTGACGAAATCGCCGCGGCTGGGGGAAAGACCTTTATGGCCCGGATGTGACCAAATACTTATCTCGTCTGAACAATGCCCAGTTAATTGCTAAACATCGGAACTGTACGTATTAGTCATCTCATGTTTTCCAGACTCATCCATTTGTAATTTCTCAGCATACATGACTGCGTCACGGCGAGTCTTCGCCATTCCCGAAAAGATTTGTTGGGTATTCCCTCGATAGCTCATGACAATGGAATGTATGTCTCCCAAATTCAATCCAATCACGCCGTAGCAACATCACCACTGACGTATGATAATGACATCAACGTTTGTTCGTGCCCCGCTCAATCAGCCCAGCAACCCGCAAACGGATCGACCTGTCGAATTTTGTACACTAGGACATGAAGCGCTTGTTGATGTCACAACTTCAAGGCCAGAACAGAAGGTGTGTGGTCTGATGACGTTAAACCTTTACCCTATCTTTGTATGGTCCGTCCAGGGAGAACCACTTTCGCCCGGCTGAAGATCGCCTTTGAACAAAATTTTTATGAACCATTAGCCGTTCATGTGAGCCCAGACCACCACAATATTGGCCAAACACACGGTCTGCATCGCTTGGCTCCATCTCGCCGTAGTTGTTGTATTCTTATCTGAAATAACATCTAGGTACAACAAACGTTCACGATATGGGACGTACCATGTACCCCTGAAGCGAATTGAATCGTACCGAACCTCCGGAGTAAGCTACGTTATTGCCAGTTGTGACATCACAAGGCACGGCTAACAGCGTCGGACAACGACCCTTGGAAGCCCTTTGAGCAGACTTTCATGTGTATACGAATGATTCGGTCGCCCTCAGGAGTACCGGTCCGCGTGAACATATGATGCACTCGGGTTGCTCTCTGAAACTCCTTCTGATAATATCAATTATCAGTTGGTTGCCCATGGATGATACATGATTGATGATCATTCTACGGTTCCACGACTCTCGCGGGTTGGCTTGGAAAGTTTCAACTAGAAGAACTTCTAATACGCATACGAATTCGAAGCCCACATAATCGAGCGAACGCAAATATATGACTAACTTGACGATGTGACCGGGTTTTTTCACGAGTTGGAGCTAGTTTGACGCAAAGATTTGCGGGGAAATCTCGCTGCAAACATGCATCTGTTTTGTCATTTCTTGTCCGCTTCGCCTTCCTTATTTCGATCATGCATGAAAAAATAGATTGAGTTGCTACCTTGTGTTAACCGCTTTTTCTTCACCGATGGGGCCGCTGATCACAGGGTGGCATTCTGTATCGACTCAGAAGCATCCAATTAGCTCCACAGGTAGTCTTGTCGCCTATGGCATGTGCAACCCCGAGTCGGATGATAATGCTGGCGATATCTGTGTTGGTTTAGTAGGATCCGGCACCAATGCTCGCCCCTCTTCGTTTCCTCATAAACACCGAAGGGAAATCGTTCACCGATGTTCGTCCCCTCATTTTCTTTGGCTAGAAGTGCCACGTACTACTGGTGATTAAACTAGATCCGCAGCCGAATAGCAAGCCCTGGACTTAGCACCATCGTAACAAAGACCCTCCGATTCTAAATGGTGCGATTAGTATCATATTATGCGCATCGTGACGCATGGCTCGATAACCGTTGTGGCGAACCTAAACCATGTAGCCTTGTTACCGTGTCTTCATGATGCCGGTCAGGTGTTCCCATTGGAGTGGATATTAAAAACGTACCAGAATGATTTCGGCGGCACATATGCATGGTTTGAAACTGCTGAACCTGTTAACTCGGCTGTAGCCGCATGGCTTGCCCCAGGCCCTGGTACTTAGTGATACCCGGCTTTTCGAATGGCAGCAAGTGCCGAATGTAATCACGGTCTAGTGGTGATGATCGTCTGCTGTCACGAGTAACGACATATGGGCAACCAATAGGTGGCACCTAATCACTAGCTAGTCTTTATCCGGAAGACACGGTCCGTCGGTAAAAGGGAAAGCGAAGCCGCTTGGAAGGTCACCCCTGTATCGGGTATTCCCGATAGCATCCCGCTTGGTAATCAGATAATCAGAATTTTGCCTCAACATATCTTGTTGCGCCTAAACAATACTACTATGAAATTTAAATCAATAAAATTTGGTAGATAAATGATTGCCAAGAACTATGTTAAGTTTAAAATTCATGTCTTTCTATCACGCTTGCCTATTTCTTGTCTAGTCCTTGTCTCCGAGTAAAATATGATCGGCGGTCGGGCCTGAGGCAAGATAGGCTATCTTTGGGGCTGGTCATCGCTCACCACACTAACCCGGCCCAGAACATTGGGAAATGGTATGTGATCCATAACCTGATAAGTATCTACCAGGACTCTGAAAGGTGATTTCCTCACATGGAGACGCAAACTGCCAAGCGGAATTCATCTGCAAGTGCTTCCTAGATATGTACATAGATTTACAACCTCTTGACTTCTCCACGTTGTCGTGTGAACAGTGGCGGTCTCAAGTTTAACGCCCCATCCAGCCCTGATAACGACGCATGAGTAGGGTTGTGATACCAAGCTGCGAACTATACATACACCATCAACAACCAACAGTTCGCCACAGACATATTGACTTGCGCCGCTGGCAAGGAACACTACTGGACCAGCAAAGTCACCGGGGCTACCCCACCTCCCTGCTGGTATCCGCTCGGATATCTGCCTGAGGCGTATGGGGTCCGCTAGCAGCCTTTCGTTCCTAAAGGTATATCAAAAAGGTGATCAGACTGGAGAACAAAAGTAGACGCCAAAGGGCCGAATGATAACAGTTTGTAAAGAGAATAAAATGTGCGAAATGAAGGCTCAGCCGGCGGGAAGATGTCAGTGCTGTTAAACCATCACTAACGTCACGAGTTCGCACAACAGGGGTGATTTCACAAGATGCTCGAGCGATAACAAGAAAAGATATACGTACATGTCTGTGGCAATATACCCCGGGCAGATGCCGTTCACTTGAACGTTATGCTGGCTCCATTCGTTACTGAGAGCTTTCGTGAGTTGGCCGAGTGCACCCTTAGCGGCGGCATAAGCCGGGACGGTAAGGCCGCCTTGGAATGTCAACAAGGAACAGAAATTAATGATTTTCCCCCTCCTAAGCGGAACCATGTGCTGGCCCGCCGCTTGTGATATAAGCCACACGGATTTGAGGTTCACGTCGAGAACCTAAAATGAGTCGAGAGAAACATGTACAACTTGAGAATCTGATGCCGGGAAGGTTAAACAGAACTTGAGAGAATGACCTACATCATCCCAGTCCTTCTCCGGGAAATCGACACTCGGCGATCTCCGCTGTATTCCAGCACAGTTGACCAGAATATGAATACTACCGCCCATGAGCTCCAGTGCCTTGGGGAAAAGTTCCCTGACGGAATCCAAGTTGTTCAAGTCGCAATAGACGACTTGGGTGTTCACACCTAGCGCTCGAATGGAGTTCACTGTGTCCATATTCGGCTCCACACCCGGAGAGGGAGGACGCTGAACAACACATATTGAGGCACCCGCTTGAGCTAAAGCCAAAGCACACGCAGCACCTATGCCTGTCGTTAGGTCAACCGCGAGGGTAAGAACCAAGATAACAAATTGAAAATGCCTTGATCAGTTGAAGCGAGGTTCTAGGCGAGGAACAAGTACATTACCTCTGGTAGCTCCAGTGATGAGGACATTTTGGCCTGCCAGAGCAAAAAGTTGTAGAGATGGTACACCGGAGGGGGTTGGATCCATTTTGAGACAGATTCACATAGATTGAAGACTCGCTTCAGGGGATTTTATATTGTCGCGGGCAACATTTTGTTGACCAAGATTTGATTTTACCCCGCATCGGCTCACGAGCCGAGCAACCGGCAGCGAGATTTCGATAAATGATTTTTTTTCTGGTAAAAATGGAGGTTATAATATATTTGTCCTGATTTGGCCATATACCGGAGTTATTGATTCGCATTTTTCAAATACGTTTGCGGTAAACCGGACCGAACGAATCTTTCCCAATCTGGTTGTATGATAAGTTGAAGTTCTCCTCACGAGATTGCTCCTTCTTGCAACTTTATATTGTATATATAAGGTCACCGGTTGATACTAGGATGCAGTAGTACGTCCCTTAACACTTTCCCTCCACCCATCACAATCATGTCTCCTGCTACCGTCCAATTACAACGTGCAGCCGTCCTTCACGGTCCCAGGGACCTTCGTCTCGAGGAACGCCCATTCTGGCCTCCACAGTACAACTATGCACAAGTAGCAATACAGTCAACCGGACTGTGCGGAAGCGACTGTGAGTCTTCTCTGTGTTTCAAAAGTTTGAGCTTCGAGCAAATTTCCTAGTACACTATTACCTAGAAGGTCGCAATGGTGATTTTGCACTCCAAGCACCCCTCGTCCTTGGCCATGAATCGGCAGGTGTGATCACTGCTGTCGGTCCGGGTGTGAAAAATCTAGCCCTCGGTCAACGCGTTGCAATAGAGGCCGGCGTTATGTGCAAGAAGTGCAATTATTGCCAGGCTGGTCGTTACAATCTTTGCAAGGACATGCACTTTGCCAGTAGCGCAAAGACCTTCCCTCATCTTGATGGGACACTACAAGACCGGATGAACCATCCAGCGTACGCTATTCATCCGTGAGCCCCCAATTTAATTGTTGCTCTATGCACTCTAACTCCTCATCAGACTCCCTGACAACTGCAGCTTTGACCAAGCCGCCTTGGCTGAGCCGCTGTCAGTTTTGATACATGCTGCTAGAAGAGCCAATCTTACTTCAGGTCAACGTGTTCTCGTATTCGGTACGGGTTCCATTGGCATCCTCGCTTGTGCACTGGCCAATGTATATGGTGCCTCTCGGGTCGTTGCCGTTGACATTAACCAGACGCGACTGGACTTTGCGAAATCGTACGGTTTCGCTTCACAAACATACTGCTTGCCCAAGGTCGACAAGGCCAGAACGCCCGAAGAGCAGCTTCGACGTGCAAAAGACAACGTCTCGACTATCTTGTCTAAATTTAACGAACCCGAGGGCTTCGACGTAGTCTTCGAATGCACGGGCGCTGAACCCTGTATCCAGATGTCAATTCACGTAAGTTCATGGTCTGCGAAGCCTCGATCATCACTGACTTGCGACTTTTAGGCTGCTGTCACAGGCGGCAAAGTCATGTTGATTGGAATGGGGTCACGGAATGTCATGCTTCCGCTTTCTGCAGCAGCCCTGCGTGAAGTAGACATTCAAGGTTCCTTCCGCTATGCCAACACGTACCCTGAAGCGCTCAAGCTGCTTGGATCGGGCAAACTCCGCAATGTCGAAAAACTTATTACACACCGCGTTCCCTTGGCAGATACCTCTCGAGCTTTCGAATTGTTGGCTCGTGGCAAAGACGAGAATGGAAACATGGTGATGAAGATTATAATTGGACCTTCATCATAGTTCTCGTTTATCTATTATCTCTCATCTTTATTTGTAGTGGACGGACTAAAGAGCTGCAAATGTTGTAGTGTAATTTTTCATATTTCAGCACAGGCATCTTGGATAATCCTATGGGCATTTGTAAGTTATTTACGTACGCGCCCTTTTGCAATAAACAAACAAATATTTGCAGCCATGTTTTCTCCGAATGTCATTGTGGACGTATTTAATTAGAGTTCTGCCGCAAGGGTGAGGTGAATAGAAACGAAGTACTGTCTCGCGAGATCTTCTGTAACAAGCACATTTTGTTACCCTGAGCCGGCGGAATTTGGTGTTTGCTTGCGAGACGGTTCGGAGCCGTGACTGTAGTAATTACATCAGTTATGAAGTTGACGTGTTACGTCGTACTTGCGGGTACCACAGCATGCAACGGCTATCATTACTCCCAGTCGCTAGGGTATGGAAAACTCCGTAAACTTCAAAAGTTTGAGTTGTCCCAGTGTCAGCGATGCCTTCCCTGAAACCACTGGTAGCCGACTGTCCTCTAGAATGAGGAGAGCTATCCCACTCCAGAATTCAGGTACATGAAAAGGAGACCATGATGGCTAAGTCGAGCGCACGAGTTGATCACCAGTGATCACCTGTATCGGCAAATCAGGCGTTTTTGTTGCTTTTCCTCAACAAGACGTAAGTGACCAAACTGTGTGGATCAACCTGCCTCAAAATTCGAACCAGAGTGAGGTTACGTCCCTTCGCCGACGATGCCGCTAGATCGAACACTACCCTCAAAAGCAAAAGGTGTAGAGCCTCACGCAATGCACTTACCTACATTGACACACCGCGGAAAAGCTTCCATGCCGCAGGTTCACGAGAAGCGTACGTCTTCTTCTCCCGCGATGATTGAAAGGCGCTACAGATGTACAAGGAAAGGAAGCCGAAGGGTCTGGTGCCATTATCTTTTGCGGGTTTGCAGCGGAGGCAATTTTTTTGAGTTCGAGAAAGTCCCATGCGCTGAACACGCACGGACGCGGGGGTGAATCTTCAACTTGAACAACGGTATGTGTTATTTCAGGCGCGCATAAATTCCGTCCTGTGGTAACTGTTATCGCTTTGGTGGGGCCAAATTCCCTTGGCTCATACGCGCCTTCAGGACAACCGGGGCCGAGGTCGATGGGAAAAAGAAGGACGAGCACCGCTTGAACTAATGTTATGGTCCGGCTCGTGATGGCAGAGCCATTACCCTCACATGAGCAATGATCCGTTTTATGCGTTTGCTGTTCCGTTCTTCGGATTTGATTTCGTCGTTGCAGCGAAAAATTGATGTCCATGCACGCGCCACCGAGAGAACACCCTTGAACGATGTGTTATACGTCAATGACATGGAACGAACTATCCGAGTCCACGTATTTAGGATGCTATATTGGTTGCTGAGAGAAGCAGCGGAGCGGGCGGATGTCGCAAGCGTGTCGCGGCGTGTGCGAAATGGGTCAAACAAGGAGAGAAGAAGTAGCAGTCTTTGGTTGGTAGTTGGTCAGCCGGACTGCTTGTCGCAGTATGTTTTTACGGTGGCCATTGATTTTGGCTTCGCGATTGCAATGACTTCGCACCTTCGGAATCAAACATGTGAGCAAAATTGCTATATCTAAACCGCCATGCGTGCATACCGTCTCACATTATTACAAAGAGTTATCGGTTAGTTGAACCGTAGAAGCTTGTTGGGGTACATACTCTTATCTGTTACATACACCGAAGGTCTATATTCATGTAACCGAGACAAGATCATGGTCAGAAGCTGCGAGTGCGGATAACCGCACGCGTCGTGAGGCTGATACAAAACCTGCAACAAGATACTAGACAAGCTCAGTCTAACAAGATACGGTTTGCGATCCAAATCATGAATCCTATTTCTGTACAGCGATGTCCAAGTGAATTCCTGCTCAAAAGTATTACCGCTCTACTTCCACTCTATCTACTTTTGGCGAGTTAACAGTGATTATTCTGAGACATGGTGGAGACTCAATATACCCAAGAGGTAAATCGTACCGCAGGGCCCCTGCGCCTAGAAGTTCCGGCAGAGGGCGTTCCTCATAGGTTTCGGTCTCCGATGCGTTTCTCCTTTATCGCGGTTGCGGTCAGTATCATTTGATCAACAGTGAGCGACATGTATATCAAGACTCGGTGAAGGATCCGTGATTTCAACTTATCAGTCACTGACGGCCCGCGTGTCAGTTGCGATAGAGTGATGAAGGAGAGAAACACGCCCTTGAGTCCAACGCCGTCGTTATCGTCTGTGACGTAGGCACATCGATGGATGATACCATCACTGCCTTCCCATGCAGGTACTTTTGTCGATGTGGCAACATTGTCCAGCATGCTATAAAGTCAACGATGTCGTCAACAGGATGAAAGGTAGAAAACTCACAATGAAGTCCAACTAGTATCACCAGTGACGAACCCAAGGACGCTCAAACCTTCGATATACTTGCCGGTGCTGTAAGTAAACAGCCAGCTAGATGGGAAACGCGTGCAATCCTGAGTATTGATCGTGTCAAGGACGAGATCCCCAGAATTAATCACGTTGGTGGCCTTGATGAAGTCAGCAGAGAGAATTGAAGCATCGGTGTAAGTGCTATTTCTAGCTGTAGACACGAGGTAGGCCAAGAGACTAAAACATATATCGGCGGTGATTTCCATTTATTTTGGTAAAACCCAGAAGCATCCCTTTGTCGGACCGGATGAACTCATTTTAAGATAAAATAATACCAAACCATACCCAGTAGTGATAGAGTCCCTAACTCTGGTGTCGTCACTCCATTGCCGGGCGCATATAGTCCAGCCTCGCCACCATTGAGTGAACATGAGTTTCTCAACACCCAAAAAACACCCCCACGTGCCATAGTTTCTATAGCTGTATGTTAGACAACACCTCAGCAAATATAATTTATTAACATACCGCCATTAAAAGATCCTTCATATTACATATTGGTTATACGGGATCCGTTACCATTGATGTACACAGGGACTCACTAGTTCGAGACGTGCTGCCAAGGTGCAATGGCATGATTCAACAGATTTAGATTTGGATTGTCATATGCGCGGTAGCCAAGCCATAGCCCACCACCTGCCACAGGAAATCAGCGCTCAGCAGCAAACTACAGGAAATAGAGGCATACATTGCATCATCACTATACCGGCAGTAGACGAATTATATCACACATACTAATCTCACAAGATCATCGTCACAAGAACGAAACTTATCCTGCCTCACGCGGTATAGGTCATAGTAAGACAGTGTTCCAAATCTAAAAGGATACACGCACCCGTACTGATCGTACCCTGTATATTATAAGCTAAAGGTAGCATGCAAGCTATCTTGTTTATTTGTTGAAGACGAGATTAGTAGCCATCGTCGAAAGCGCGTTTACATTTTGCCAACATCCAAGTTCTTAAGATAACGTATTATGAGTTGCACTTGAGTGTACTGGCACCGTACTATGCTTAACACTAGAAGAGCCTGTGCCAGTGTCAATAACAGCAGTGAAGGTGTTGGTGCAGTTTTGGGTAATTGAGATATGGTTTAGAAAAGAACAGGATCCTGTGTACAGCGAAAGTTAGCGAATATAAATATGTCACAAGACAGGGACAAAGTTCCACTAACCCATCATGTAGACGGTGTGTTCAGGACCCAGGTCTTGTACAACTGCGAAGGGAAATGCAATGTGATGGTCGCATCACAAACCATGCTAGTGATCATCCAATTGAGCATGGCTTGCCGCTGTGAAGCTTAGATCGACTTCGTCATACAGCGTCAAGTACTTGTAGCACAATTAACATTAATCTTGATGGCCGTCACTTCTAGGAGTCATGCGCTGCGGCGAGCACGAATAATGGTTAGTCAGCAAGTGTACAAGTCAGCAACCTGACAGTGACAAACAGTGACCATCTCGGAGTGACACTAGTACGTACTAGCTCACGGTGCGGAGTCCTTGCCATTAGCCCACGGGCAAACGCGTCTTCACTGGCCTCGAATGGCGCTTCCAGATCTTACCTATATCGCTGCTCCCATGATCAAGCAAAGTGATGCACCCTTCCGGCTGTTGACACAGCGACATGGAGCAACCCTCGCGTATACGCAGATGCTTGACCCTCACAAGCTTCTTGAGGATCGAGATTACCTTGAGTTTCATCAGCGTGATTTGACTTTTGGTCGCGATGCTGGTAACGAGACGGATGGACCGGTAGTGGTCCAGCTATGTGGCAATGACCCTGAGATCATCGTTCAAGCTGGAAAGAAGATACAGGGCTTTTGCAGCGGTATTGGTGGGCGTAATGCCTCGAGTGAAATATATTAGTAACTGAATCGACTGCAAAGTTTTTAGATTTGAACCTAGGATGCCCACAAGAGCATGCCCGTGAAGGTCACTACGGTGGTTATCTCTTAGCCAAAAAGGACTGGCCACTCGTTCAGACCATAGGCAAGCAGTTTCAACCTTATCGAATACATTCTCAATTGGTAGGCATGTGATCCTAGTTTCTGCGATGTCCCACCTATTGCAGCCACCGACTTCCGTAAAACTACGTCTTTGCCCTTCATCGTCACCCCCATCATCTACGGTTGAATTTGCCACCCTTCTGGAACAGGCAGGTGCATCTTGGGTAACTCTTCATGCGCGTCATGTATCCGCCAGACGACGGCGTCAGGGTGCTGCAGATTTAGATGTGGTTCGTACTCTGAAGGCGGCACTCAGAGTACCTGTCGTGAGCAATGGCAACGTTCGTACATGGGAGGACGTACAAAGGAACAAGAAAGAGACCCGAGCTGATGGCATTATGGTAGGAGAAACCTTGCTAGGAAATCCTTGGTTTGTCCGCTGTTTTCCATTTTCTGGTACCGTGCCATTGATCATGTATGAACAGCATATTTGCAAATGTCATCCCAGATCCTGTCCAAGTATCTCTTGAATACCTAGAAATCTGCAAAGAACTTCCTGATATTGCGACTCATAAGACTATCGAGACTCATGTCAGACATTTTATTGAATTTCAGTGGTAGGTCGTTCATGCAGCTTTCATCGCGCAATCGCATGTCTTACTGCTGTCATCAGCTCTCGGCGGCCATGGTACAATAAATTTCGCACAACACTGCCTGCATGTGAAGGGATTCACGACATCGAGCACTTACTACGCACAAAAGTGACCAGATGGCGGGGCAAGGCTGCACTCAAAAATCATGACGCATGCACCGATGATCTGGAATATACCACGGATTGAAACGTACCATTTTGCACCAGATTCTCCCCCTACTTGCCAACATTTCAGGTAGTCTTCGTTATTCCATTGCGTTCTATGTCACTGCATAGCGGTTGTATCATAACCATGATGTACAGAAAGAAAACAACTTGGGGACCCATATTGGTCTGTAGTCCGAGCAGACTTGAACAAACAAGTCCTGACAGTGACTGCTGCTAAGCATTTACTTCTAGCTTGTCGCCCCCAGTTGGTGTGTTTTGCGATACCTTTGCGCCTTCGCAAGGGTTTGATGGAAAGATACACGCAGAAACGTATGTCTGCACCCCAGCCTCACGCCTGTGCGTGATTCCAGTCAAATTCTGAGCTAAAATATCAATGCTGCTTTCTAGTCACTGGCAAGAAAGTGCGTTTAAATATGCACCTGAATATGGATCCAAGCATGTCGATTTCTTCGATCGTTTACCATCAACTTTGAGTCATCGAGGTATCAAGCTGGCTGGACGACTTCGTTCACTCATGTTTGCGTTTTTGAGTCAATATCATATTGATTGTATGACACATTCCTCTATTCTATTCAAGGCTTCCCATCGTTCAAGCGGCAGTGAAATTGTTTCAACAAATATATTAACGACCAACTCAGCAGGTCACTAGGAGTCGAGCTATGAAAAACAACACCAGTACAGGGGCAGAAGCATGACTCACTCTCGCGTTCTAACAACTCTCTGTTATTTTTGTCCTTGGGATAGCACATCCCACCACACCTCTATTACAAGGCGCAAGGGGTGAGTACAAGATTAGATCCTGCCAGTGGATTCAAAGCAAACTTACATAATTAGACCCACACTTTCCAGAGCAGCACTCGGAGCCTTCGTTGCAGTTCGCATAATCGACTTTACAGTCCCTGCTGAAGACAGCTGGTGTGGCACTGACAGACATAGATGCTGTCAGAGCAGCAATGACGGCGAGCAAGGAGAAACGCATTGGTTGCACGAGGTAATATGGGATCTATTCGAGTTCGAGTTCGAATGACTTTCAGATAACAGGGGGACAGCCTGCTTTTATGTCCTAAAAACCTTGCTAGACATTCTAGGAGTATACCATAAACACCGCTCGTCGGCTCTGTAACGGACAGGAGAAATGGAGACTAGCAGGGTTGAGATATATTTAAATTGTGTGGCCTAACCTGTATATTTCAGACGCTGATTATGACTTTGTTCGGGTCCGATTAGGGTGCATTGACCACAACTATGCTCCAAGACTCTTCAAGACTCTTCAAGTTGCTGTCAGGCTTATGCAGGACGAGAAGTGATACACGACACACATCCTGACCTGCTCATCGAGTTTAATACAAGTCTACCTTCAGCCGTCGCTACGTACGCCATCTCAACCTCTACTAACATAATGCCAGTAAGTTTACGACCTCATTGAGTACGCGCCGGGACACAACAGACGTGCGCCAAGCTTTCGTGCAGAAATATATATATTTGGAACTGCGAATGGCAAGAAGCCACATTCACAGCTTATCACGTGATGTTTGTTGACACAGCATAGCGACTGGCTTAAGCCCAACAACAGAGCGTCGCAAGGCCGATCCCAAGTCCTTAGCACCTGTTGCAGTCACCGGTCTCCTAGGATAAGGGTCTATTAGCTGGGGCAAGAGGAACGCTAAGATGGCCGGGATGGCAGCGGTTTCGAAGTTCTCGTCAGGGGCTACCGCTACGTATACCCAGCCGCGCCAGCCTTCTCGTTCTATCTAGGAATAATATTACTGCTGAGCCTATATCATACCTAGTGGGAGTACAGGTTCGCGTCGCACAACTGCAACCGCGTCCAATGACTGCCTAGCTGCATCCAGTAACCACGACCCACCGGCAGGAGTTTACGATTAGGGTAGAGTTAGCAGGGGCAGACCCCAAGTCTCATAGCCTCTAGCACATCGAGACCCCTAAACCCATTCACCGAGGTACCCCTTAGGCGGTTTCGGAACCGAAAGGATCTGGCGCGTTTTTGCAGAGACGATGCTGCACCGGGTATGGTTGTGGTCAATGCATGTACCCTGATCGGACCCGAACAGAATAATCAGAGCATACATGTTAGGGCCACATAATTTACATAAATACATCCCAACCCTGTCAGTCTCCATTTCTCCTGTCCGTTACAGAACCGACAAGCGGCGGTGTTTATGTTATACTCCCAGAATGTTTAGCAAGGTTTTTAGAACATAAAAGCAGGCTGTCCTCCTGTTATCTGAAAGTCATTCGAACTCGAACTCGAATAGATCCCATATTACCTCGTACAACCAATGCGTTTCTCCTCGCTCGTCGTCATTGCTGCTCTGACAGCATCTATGTTTGTCAGTGCCACACCGGCTATCTTCAGCAGAGACTGTACTGTCGATGGTGAGTCTTGTGGCCAAGACTCCGAGTGCTGCTCTGGAAAGTGCGGGTACAATTTTGTAAGTTTGCTTTGGATCTACTGTACCGATCCAACCTCGTGACTGACTCCTCGTGCTCTGTAATAGAATTGCGGCGGGATGTGCTATCCTAAGAGCTGGCAAAATTCTGCAGAGTTGGTACGTCGCGAGAGTGAGTCATGTTTCTGCCTCTGTGTTAGGGATATTGTTCATGGCTTCATTCCTAGTGACTTGTTGAGTTAGTCATTATGAATCTGATCTTTGTTGGGCTAATTTCACTGTCGTTTGAGCGATGGGAAGCTTGAATAGGAAATCTCATACACTTTATGATATTGCACATGAGTGAGCAAAGTCGTGTCGAGCTAGCTTGATGCCTCTGTGACTTCGAGTTGATGGTAATGGTCGTAGAGAAGTACATCGACCGATGATTGATATCATGCTTGGGTCCATGTTTGAACCCACTTTCGTGGCAGCGACTGATTATATTAATCAGGATATTGGCTCAAAAATTATCCGTACTCATGATCATCCGACACTATAGGTACAGACATATGTTTCTGGGTGTTTCTTTCCATCAAAACCTTGCAAAGGTGCAAAGGTATGATCGCAAAACACACCAACTGAAGCTAGAAGTAAATGCTTAGTGCACCCAGACAAAAGTGCGAGAACACATTGATAAGAACTCTTACAGGCTCAGTTGGTCAATTCCGAGAGGTCGTACGGAAAGTATATCTTCTGGGTAATAAGACAACCTTAAAATTTCGTGCAATCGAAATTTCAGCCCGGCTGGTAACTCCCGGTAAATTGATAGATTACCGTGCACATACCAGCCTTGTGTCGTTTACAACTCCTGCCATTCACTTCGACCATTGGCCCTTCAGGCTCGTTGTAGCTTTCTCTCTATCCTGCATTAACGATAGCCAGGAGGCGTTCTAGCCATTGGTATTATAACCCAGGACACTTAATCATGGCACGAGTAACACCGCTTTCTCTTCTCGCATTCTTCGCATTCATTGCTCCTTTTACGCACGCCATCAAATTCGCCCTCCCAGCAGCTCGTTTACCCATCCCAAAATGTATATGGAACGCTGCACATATCCATGCACTTGTCATCGTCACCGCCAACGTTGGACCCGGGACCCACCAACGGGTAGACATCGAAATTTTAGATTCAACACCCCATCGCAACGTCTATCTCTCAAAACGCGACATCAAAGGCGAGACAAGACTTGCTGTCACAGCGCATGGCCAAGGAGAGGTTGGAGTCTGTTTCAAAAATTATCTATCCCCTGGTACGTTCGTTGGGGGTAGGTGTCTTATTGGCCATTACTTATGGCGTTGTAGACATCAAACTAGACATGGCGCGGAATATGTCGCGCACCGTCGATCTGGATATTGATATTGGGGCTGACGCTGTTGACTACAAGTGTGTACCCTGTTCATTCGCCATGATAACTTACTGACTCCCTCCTTGTCATCAAGTGCAATTGCAAACCAAGAATCACTCTCTGGACTTGAGACAGAAATGCGAAAACTGGAAGGCGTTGTAAAAGAGATAGTTGACGAGCTCGAATATCTTAAGAAGCGCGAAGAACGTTTTGCAGACACCAATCGTCAGTCTCCTTGGATTCCTGCACATTACTTTTTACAAATCTTTGTTCCTTGCAGTTGTGACGAATCGCCGCGTGCAGAATTTTGCCTGGTTCACCATTCTTGCCCTCGCGGCGCTTGGCGTTTGGCAAATTCTTCACCTCCGGTCGTTTTTCAAGCGCAAGTACCTCATTGACTGATGAGTGTGTAAAGCGTGCAATGTGGATGACAGTACTGCTTATAACTTGGGAGATGTGCGGTAGGACGCTCTTGTCCTCTACATCAGATTCAATATACACCATTTCATTATACAGGAAATGTTGTCACCCATTTTTTTCTGCTTCAATGCCTAAGTCATCATTACAGTTGGGTATCTTCCTGGTGGTCTTTTATTACTCCTCGAGGTAAAATAACTATTTGGGACAAGGCCATGAGCATCACACAGCCTCGCGAAACTGATTTTACGAGTAAACAGCTACTGACTTGCCACTACGTGAGAAAACTGATTGCCTTTGGCTGCTATGACTCAAGGTTAGCTCGATACGCATGCCCCATTGCACGTTAAGCGCGTGCTCGAAAATGTATCAAGAATTTGTCCGTCGGTACTATGCGGACCGGTCATGTTCAGCTGACCACCCTCAAAATTCAAAATTTAGTATTCCATGCAGCTGAAGGGAGATTCCATCTCTCACTTTGTCGTCTCCATTAAGGAAGACAAGCATGTCCCTAACAACTTCAGCTTCCAGCTTCATTTCAAAGATCGAGGTTCGTCCCACAATGTGTAGCAGGCTTCCCAGTGTACTCACTGTCAAATGTAGGTCTTCCGCGTGCCTCCACGCTGGCTCTTTGTGCGTATTGAGACAGCCGATGGGTTCGTTGGCTGGGGAGAATCCACTCTGGAAGGACACACCGAAGCAATTGAGGGCGCTTTTACTGACCTTGCACAGCGTTTCCTTGGTTGGGATGCAGATGGTATCGAAGACATCTGGCAGACTGCGTACCGCGCTCGGTTTTATCG